GTTGGACCAGCGAAAGATTGCAAGCCGAAAGAATGCGGACAAAAAATTGCGAAGTTGTCAGATGTTCTACATAAAATGCGGTCCATACATATTAACATATTTAAGATATAGAATTGTTCCGCTGAATTTGGCAATGTAGCTGGAAAACCCAGGCCGCAGGTAAACATCCGGTCGCTGATTGGTCCAAAACTCTTATCTTATCTGAAACTAGAATAACGTGCCGATGGCACGGTCATTTATAAACCTACTCCCATAGGCGTAGGCAGTTGGCAAATACTTTGAAAATATAATTTACTGTTTAGTGGTGATAATGGAATTCAAGCATGGGAAAGTTATTCACAGCCAGGCAAGGGAAATAATAGCAAACGTGATACGTGCTTGCGATGCAGAAGCGGCTAACAATACTTTCGTTTATCCACTGGTAGCTAGAAATGCAAGGGCGGCATATTATACGGGTGTTAGTGAACGAACTATAAGTAAAATTAGAAAAGAAGATAAAGACAGGCAAAATGCAACCTCCACACAGCCTTTAGCTTCTCCCGGAAAAAAGAGATCACGCCCTTCTGTGATCCAAAAAATTGATGGAGTCGATTTTTCCATTATTCGGAGAATGATAGAAAAATTTTACTGTGATTTTAAAGTGGTACCTACTTGTAGTAAACTTCTAATCAAACTGAAGGAAGAAATGGAATTTCCATTTGGTAAAGAATCGTTGAGGCTGCTTTTAAAAGCAAAAGGATTTTACTGGCGTAAATGCCACAACAAAAGGAAATTACTAATGGAAAGACCCAGTATTTTACATTGGCGATACAAGTATCTTAGGTCTATTAAAAAGTTCCGGGAAGAAGGAAGGCATATTATTTATTTGGACGAAACTTGGGTTGATAATGACCTCACTTTCAAGAAATGCTGGCAAAGCGAAGAAATTATGGGTGTCCTGAGCAATATAAGTTCTACAGGTAATAAAGTTTCTTTCACCTCGATTTTGCTTATTATACATTTTTCTCAATTTTGGAATATTCTTAATAAGTGCTCATTTAATTTGTCTAATTGAATACATAATCCCTTGCAAGTATTTTTTTCTCAAAAATATGTTTTTTATACATAGTGATTCAAAAAGGTGTTGGCAAACTTAAAATAACACTAAAATGAGGCTATTTATTCATTTCCAGGACGACTTATAATTGTTCATGCGGGTTCGCAAGATGGTTTTGTTCCTGGAGCCTGTCTCATTTTCAAGGCTGGCTGTGCCACTGGTGATTATCACGGTCAAATGAACCAAGAAAATTTCACGAAGTGGCTTACTGAAAAACTATTTCCTAACATTCCTCCTAATAGTATTATAATAATGGATAATGCACCTTACCATTCAGCTTTGGAAGACAAGCCTCCAACTAGATCTTCTCTAAAAAGAGACATCATCACGTGGTTGAGCAAAAAAGGTATAGAGCATGATCCTAATGCTAAAAAAATGGAGCTTTATGAAATAGCTTGTCTACATAGGCCACCATCTGATGAGAAAAATTATAAGATAGATAATTTAATAAGAAGTTTCGGACACACCCCACTTCGAACGCCACCCTATATGTGTCAGTTTAATCCCATAGAGATGATTTGGGCACAAGTAAAATTTTTCATTAGAAGCCATAATACAAGCGGCGAATTTACTATAAAAAAACTAGATGAAATTTCTAATAAGGCCATCGCTTCAGTAAGTGCCAGTGACTGGCAAAAGGTTATTGGACATGTTATAAAAATTGAAGATGAATATTGGGAAAAAGACAGTCTCATTCAAGAAATACAGGAAGAAATAATAATCAACATAGGAGGTGAAAGTGATAGCAATGACAGTTCCTCAGACAGTGATCATGACTCTAATCAGGATTGAAACTATACTAGATTGGCTACCTTTTAGAATTTTTAGATATTCATTTATTATACTATTGGTTTGTGGCTTTTAGTATCTCAGTAGAAAGTCTAATTCTATGTGTTGTTTATGGGTTATTTCATCAAGAAATTACTTTTTGTTTTCCTATATTTTTCTATTCAGTCAGATATTTTTGACTTGTTGTATTCTATTTTAGAAGAATGCATAATTTGTTTTGCTGTTCAATCATAATGCGTACATAGGAATATTACTTGTTGCCTAAAAAATATATTTATTTTGTTCTCAATATTCAGTGTTTGTGTATATTTATTTCTTATAATGTATGTTTGGTATCACGTCATTATGAATCGCAAAAAAATATTAATACTACCAGTTGTAATAAAATATAAATTCAATTAATAATTCAAGTCTCTCCGATCTCCGCCTATGACTCCATATAAAATCGTCTAATGGTAAGGTTTTTTCATCGCATTTCCCCCTTTCGTCCCTAGCAATCTTTGGCTGGTCGATCTATACTTATAACTTCACTCACTTCGATTTTGTTTTTTTGTGTTTTTTGCGATTTTTCAACAGATTTTATAATTCTCTTTAACTGCTTTTCAACTCGTCTATATTTTTGGAGATGAGTATTTAGTTGGGTTTAGAGTTTTTTTAATTGCTTACTTCTGGACTTTCCCTGTCTTTCACTACTCTTTTGTGCTTCTTTCGCTCTTTGGTCTGCGCTGATAATAGGTCTATATTCTTCACGAACTGGTGTTTTTTCGTTCTCAGTATTTAGAAGAGTATTCTGATGTATAAATTTAAGAGTTTGTTTAAAGAGTAGCTTTTTTGTCTGTATCTTGATATTTTCCATTTTTTCTAGTTGCCCGTTGCTCCAAAGGTTTTCTTTACCCTTTCTTCATTTTTAAGTATTGTAAACTTTGTTTTTCTTTGTATTTAGCTTATTTAATGCAGTTTAATTCGGATTTTATTTTCTTCTTTAATATATATTCTTTAGACAAATTCTGTTTTTTTTTAAGAAGTTTAAACTGTAATAAATAAAAGAAATACTTACACACAGTTGCAGTTAAGACAAAAGCGATCTAAACAAACAAAACAAAAATAGTGCCGTGGAAGCCCGTCAGTCCATTGATTAAGGACTGACGCCAAAGTACTGACCTTATTTTGAGATTATAATTCGAACTAATGTTTCTTTTGGTACTTTCGAATATCAAAAAGCTATATTTTAACATGTAAATTAAATTTTTAAATACATATGAATCAAAATAAAACTGAAGTTTGTAAAGAAACATCGCCTTACCACAGTACTGATATTGTGACTGGATCGGCACGTGTATTCACAGTAACCACGACTCTAGCACTAGTTTAGTAAGGGCAGCTGCCAAATGGCACGATCTGCAGCTCTCCACTACTGACGTTGAAATTTAACAGGGATGCAATCTCGAGTCGGTGATATTTGGCGAGAATTTTATATTTGAACAACACACAACGGACTGACGAATGGAACTAAACAAAATTTCTTAATTTTTTATAACTAACGGTGGGAATATTATATTATGAAAGTTGTACTTATACATTATTAAGTGCATCACAGATTGTAGTAAAATAGCAAGTTTTTTTAAATTAATGGTAATTTTCAACTTCAATCAAACTTAATTGTACGTTTTTGGGATTGTGACATGTCAAAGGACTGACGTTTTGAGGATTTTTTGTATTGTTTCAAAAACTTAAATCGCTGAAATTGAGCGACCAAATAAAAGACTTTTAGTTGTTTTAAAATAAAATTAAATATAAACAAAATTTAATAAAACTTCATTTCTATTGATTGATGACATTGAGTTACAAATTTTTTGTAGAATCACCCTTATAACGAGTGTTGTATTGATGAAAATCTGCATTATTATATGTGTCTGCGTATTTTGCTAGGTTGAGGCAGTGTTAGCAATCGGTTTTTCTAAAAATATTTCTTAAATAAGGAAGATACACTTGAAGCCAAGTAGGTTATATATAATTGAACGATGGCTTAATGGCTTTCAATCTGTAGATAAATAGAATCACTACAGTGATACAGCTAGGTTAATATTGTATTCCAGTAAGGATCATTAACTAACTTTACATAAATAAACTAATTTTCACATCGCCTCAAGACGTACAAGGTATTAAAATAGCCGTATCAACTGTCATCTCGACACTGCTATCTGTTTGGTACCTAAAATATTTTGGCATTCAAATAAATCTATGATTTGTGTAACAAACATGGCTAAAACTGGTGTAGAGCCTCAAGTTCTCAGTAACATTTTGTGAGACACCTAGAAACATTTCGTGTCGATTCAAGTTCCACTTCCCAACCAATTACAATAGACTGAAAATTATGTCCTTTTTATATTTATATTGTCTGCAAATGTTATAACCAAAACTCAGATAAAAAGAATCATCATGACTGTCCGTTTTTTTATCACGGTTTAACCGCTCGACACAGAAGTAAGTCGGAGACATTTTTAGGCCAGTTGATGACATATGTTATTTGCCAATAATAAGCTATTATTTAAATATAGAAAGTTATTGTTTCTAACATTCTGAAGAATGAACTCGTTTAAACAGTATTTTTCACAAAACTTCAGTATTTGCCTTCTCTTCAGGTATGTGAATGATCATAGCAGTCAATACATTATAAAAAATTGGACATTTCCAATAAAAAATCAATGCTATGTTGATCACCCTGTATAATTCTGAGCATTTCAGAAATGTGCCACTAAATGTCATGTATAATAACCCATTATTAGTTTTCTTTGAACTATTTCGTCCTCACATGGATGGGCCACCCTGTATATATATATATATATATATATATATATATATATTAAATCCAAAAAGCGAATAATATACAGGTTTATAGGAAGCAAATTGGTTTCAACTTACTGTGTAACCACAAATACCACTATTTTGAAAATGTTTTAGCCGATTTGCTTCTTTCAGTTTTAGCAAAACCTCAAATTTTCGTAATCATCTAATGCCTAATTTTCTAGTAATCGAATGCTGTAGTTCTTCGTAATTCGTGTTACTGCATTAACTTTTCTAAAATTTATCAAATATTTTTTTTTCATATTTCTAGACAAGTCTTAATGGCATAACGTCACCACCGTACGAAGAAGGATTTGACTTCATCAATTACTATAAGACCAATGTTTTCGAGGATAATCAGAATCGACTGTCCAAAAACCAAAATCCCAGGAAAAGCAGACGAGTGCAATTTAAAGATCAGCCGGACGTACGAATTATACCTACCTATCACCAACCTACATCTAACCTAACTATAAACATGGCTAGTTTGGAAGCTTACAACGTAAAACCTGACGACAATAATCTTCAGAGCAAACCTGTGGTTATTATAGAGAAGCTGACCAAGGGGGAGATTGATCAATGGGAAAGATTAAGTGAGAAATCACGACAATTGAGGTTGGACAATCGTCGCCGGCAGACATTACATGCTCAGTCTTCACAAAATACGATAATTCAAATTAAAATCGATTATGATAAAACTGAGAAGTCACTCACAAAAGAAGAAGTAGATCATCTGCAGAATAGTTTTAGGAGTCACTGGGAAGAGCATTACAAGTCATCTGCATCAGTTAACGCGTCTAATCAAGGTATGGTAAACGAATCAACTTCTGATAACATTGCTTTATTTTCTAACCTGGTTATTGATCGTCATGATTCAGACGAATTTGATCACCTATTAAACCATAAAACTATTCAAGAAATGGAAATCGAACCAACCCCTACTATTAGTCCACTCTCCAATTCTTATGTTGATTTATATGAAGGTTCAGACAAATTTAATCATCAATCTGCACCAGACAAGTTCATTCAAGGTATGGACGTTGAATCAACTTCTTCTAACATTGAATCCTTTTCTGATTCGGGTATGACTATTCCTCTACCAACAACCAGGTGGGATACCGGTCTTCATCATCAAGATGGCGCTATTATATTACCGCCCAAAAAAAGGATTACTCATCATTGTTGCCCGACCGTACCGTTTATAAATCAACACGGACATATCAAGGATAAAGTTGTTGAAATTAGCTACCCGGCGGAACCGATGATGAATATCGCTGACGTGCAGGAGGATCTAAAACATCCACACAGAAGGTTAAAAACTGCTGGTGAAAAAAAAGAGATGCTACCACGTCTTTTATCACACGAGCAGCCAAATACACTGAACAATATTAATCAGACATACAGCAACCATGTATATTATCAGTTACCCCGACAATAATGTATCTTGCACCTTTTATTTGTATGTGGAATTTCCATATGTGTTCCATATGATCAGCACACATTTCTGAGGATGTAGATTTTTGCTCCCTGGCAGTACTGTTAATAAATCAACAGGGAAATATGATCAAGGATGAAGTTGGTGAAATTAGCTGCCCGGCGGAACGGAGGATGAATATCGCTGGCGTGTAGGAGGAGCTAAAACATCCACACAGATCAAAAACTGCTGGTGAAGAAAAAGATATGCTACCACGTCTATTATCACACAAGCAGCTAAATACAATATCAATCGCACGTACAACAACCATATATATATATATATATATATATATATATATATATATATATATGTATCATTAGTTACCACCACAATAATGTACCTTGAATCTTTTATCCGTATATGGAATTTCCGTATGTGATCATGCCTAATATAAACTCAAATTTTGAAGTGAGAGCTAATGAAATTTGCCCCAATTCACCCCAGAGCCATAGGATAAATCTCAGGAAGGAGCAGAGGAAGAAACATGTCAGTAGTATTAAAAATCGCGCTCTAGAAGAATATTAAGCAGCCATAAACTAAATGTACCTGGCGGTACGGTACGGTCAACAAATCAGTAGAGAAAAATCGAGAATGACATTAGCTACCCGGCGGAACTGATGATGAATATATCTGACGAGCAGGAGTGGCTGAAACTAAGTATAACAAACTGGTGAAAAAAAGATGCCACCACGTACAACCACCAGATTTATAAATTACCACCTTTTCCGTATGAGGGAATTATCTTTTCCTCCATTAAAGCCTATCGTATTATAGAAACAAATGTTTTTATGTGACAGGAAAAGTGAAATGGATCATAGGAAGGAAACATGTCATTAATCTTAGGATCAAAAGACCAAAATGATATAATTTTTAATTGAAGGTAGAGGGTGGCTTCCATTGTCTCATCATGCACTTTCGTTATAGCAGTTCTGGAGAATTGGCTGGAGCTCATCCCAACCCATTCTGTTAAAGTTCTAATTCAGCGAATATTATTCCAATACCATGTCGTCTTCTGATTGATCTTTTATGAACTCCAGTAATTCATAACTTGTTTTTACACTAAGCTTCCTTTATTATTGTCCTGTTTGTTCCTTCTATCAGCGTGATGTAGACGTCCTCCGTTTCTCTACAAATGTCTATAACTATTATTCTGCAGGCCCGAATGGATGGCGCATACTTTTTTCGATGTTGTTCTAAAGCAGCTTGAAAGTCTGAACCTCGGATATGGAACCTGACAAACTACACGAAAAATGGCAAGTTAAAGCTTGTCTCACCTTCAATTTTACGTAAATGTTACCAGTGGTGGCTGTGAACTTTATGCATTTCTGCATCTCACATTTTACCTCAAAGCAAGTTTAAAATAGTATTCTTTTCATCAATAGCATCAATAGTAAACAAGACTGAGTGTAACCAATTTCTGAACAAAATGCTCGGTAATATATTTCGCTTATTCCTATCAACATACTGTTTCCAAAACTTGTTCAACACCCAAAGCCTGAGAAGACATCATGGAGTGAAGAGGACAAAGAAGAACAAGAAGTCCAAGATACAGAAGAAGACTGAAGCTTTTTCTTTCATTTAAAAGTTTTGTCATAATAGTTATTACTTATAGTAAAAGTATTATTATTGTATTTAAATGTTGAGTCATTTGCTTCTTATAATTTTTAAATGAAGTTTCTTTAGAAGAGTACTACGGAAGAAGACACCTCCAGGTTTGCTTGGCATTGGTGTTTATATCTATACATTTCATTGTTCGACATTTTCATCATTCCTCATACCTTATTTAATGTGGTGTAAGTTCCAAGTTTTGCTGAAATAATATTGAATGTTATATCTATGTACTCATAAAATCAAATAATTTTTGGTGATTTTTTGTGATTTCATACTATATAAAAGGGTAGTGAACAAGTATTAACAGATTATTTCTGGTTTTAAGGCCTGAGAACTAGACGTAGCTTCAATGGGAAGCGTACTGAACAATGTAAGTATTATTGTCACATATGTATGTTGTTACCCTTTCTCAAATCAAGTTGTAGTAAAATAATTTTCATCCATTCTAATTCCCTCTGACCTACTGATTTTTTATGTAAATCTAGCAAGACATAAAATATGTATTTAACTGAGAGTATGCAGAAGTTAAAGGATCATGCTCACCATACATGAATTCTGGTGAGAAGTAAACAACATTGGGTAATTTTCAGTGAGTCTTACGTAGTCTTTTTGTCCCGCCACCAATGATCAATTGTGTTTCTCTTATTAATGTAGTTAAAAATATTTTTAAAATCTTGAATTTAGACGTCAAGAGAGGTTTTTCTGGGGTATAGGTACTATAACACCAGGTATAAGAAGTTAGATACATATGTATCACGGTATTTTACTGGTTCCATGTTGATTTTCAAACGCTTTGCAACCGTTAAACTCATTTGACCAAATAAATTGACAAAAAAGTGTCGCCCAACTCTTTGTATTAAGCTGAATTTATTCACTGTTTCCAACTATCCGCAACTGTCAGAAATTCGTCTTCAGAATATTCCGAATGTTACACTCGCCAAACACAAACGACTAAAAGTATTCTTGATTTGTCCTGGTGCATTCTTTGAATGTATGTACGGTATCACGTATTTTACAGAAGACTTATTAGGTTATACCACAAATCATAAATAATACATGAACATTCAACATTAAACTTTTCTGTCCAATCTCTTGAATACGTTTCTGCGATTTTTTTGCACACCATGTTTTGACAAAAATAATAGTAGAAACACAATTTATCCCAACCGCATGATAATGAAATAACGCCTAAAATACCTGTTGTCTTGTTCCGTCTATCTTTATACATAATTCAAAGACTTATGGTTTGTTCGTACAGTATTCGGTGACTGTTAAAATCAAAATCAGAGAGATGTTACCTGTTTGTACAGGTTCTGACTGTTTGCCGACAGCTAATCCGCTGTTCGTACAGAACCTTCTAACAGATCAGAGGACACCAGTCAACCAGTGACAGTGACAGGTATCAGAGTGTGTCGGAACTATCTTGGGGACTAAAATTGCTTCGCAAGAGGCATTTAATGAACTTTTCTCTAATGGAAGGTCTGGGGACACCTTCGTACCAACCGATCTAGCTACGCTAACGGGCTTTGCTCCTCAGAGCTCTCTTTCATGGTGTCGCCCCGCGATGTGCCTACCTGACTTCGGCTTCCCATCGTAAGCGTGTCACATCGAGTACTGGCCTATAAGACCTTTATCCCGAAGGTGTCGAGATCGTGTAACAATCTACTTAGGAGATTTTCCCAATTCTACTAACTTTAGGCATGTAGGGTTCACCTGCGCGGCTGCTTCGGTGTAAAAAAACTGAGCGATATACCAAGAAGATGGAGACCTTGAAGATCTACTGAGGAGAGAATTAAACCCAAAAACCTTCAACAGAAACAAGTTTTTGTAACATTTTCGGTTGAGCAAGTGGCAGAAGAAATTTTAATGAAATTCTATTTTAAATATCAGCCAGCGCCAAAGTGCTTTGTGTTCAATATTTTGTTTATTGACCCGGTAATGGCAAAATGAAGATTATGAATACAGCAAGAAAAATCCGAACAATAGAGGACATAACTTTCAAGAACCATAATTCATACGATTTTTGTGACCACTAATCTTTTGAAATTTTTTGTTACAGTTGCAAAATGCGTAATTACGCGATTTAAGTCTTACTTCTATGTATTTTCGTAGTCTCAGTTCTTTTTGTCCATGTTGAGAACTCGGTGAAACTTATAGCTATGTAAGCAGATCTTGATAATTGTAGTTATGTTCAGCCGTTTTAGCTTCTTAGTGTATAACACCCTTTATTATTCAAAGACGTTATTAAATCCTTGTAGTATTTTCACTTCTTTCTTCTGGTAAGAGTCTGCATATACAAGGTGTTTCTAATTTGGCACTCACCATTGGGATCTTGGAAAATGTAACGAATACAAAGTCGCTTAAATGAGGTAGTCAGCAAAATGACACTTAGGCCCGTATCGTCAGTCGTCTCTACAATTGTAGGGCGCGTTTATGGCCTCCTTGATTGTCATAGTTTTCTACTTCTCCGTGTCAGAGCTCTATTTTGAGGTTATGTCACAAACATCTATTTGCATTAAATTGTGCTTGCTTTTGAGAAATATCATGTTTTATCAGCCTGAAATTTCCTACAATTTAAAAGGAAAACATATCTTAGCAATAGGAGAGCGCTGACGCTGACACGGGACGAGTGTGATCTAGAAATTTTTGAAGGAGAGAAAAGAGTATGACAATCAAGGAGGCCATAAACGCTCCCTACAATTGTAGGGACGACTGACGATACGGGCCTTAGAAGGTTTCGAAATTCAAAGTACTTCCATAGAATAACGAAAAATCTGACTTTTCCCAAAATTGTTCTGATTTTTTCCTGACTTTATTTATATTGGGATTTTAAAATAAATTGCACATTAACAGTGCCACGTTTTTTCCTCTACAAGAAGGCATAATCGGAATTTCTATATGACGGTTCGTCTCTTGTCCTCCAGCATCAACTTTTTTATTTCTTAAGGACGCTATATTGCATTTTTGCATAGATGAATAGAGTGTTTAATTTTGATTCAAACAATGCATAATACGACAGACATTGACATTCTCAAACCTTGATTACTGTAAGAAAAACAGAATTTCCAAAATCGCTGTATTTTTCCCGAATCTATTCGAGATGGGATTTCAAAAGAAATTGCATATTGTCATTGTTACTTATTCTCGTCTGCAAGATGGCATAGTCAAATTTTCAATTCGACATTTCTTCTTTCGACTTCAATCATCAAACTTGTTTTTTCATACGGACACTATATTGAAATTTTGTACATTTAAATTGACTGAACTGATTGTTATTTGACGATAAATTTGTTGGATGAAAATTAAAAGGAAATAAAAAGATGTGGTGAAACCTGAATACGAAATGAAAATTTTATTGATGGTAATAACAATAATAACCATAAATAAGCAGAGATATTCACAGTCTTCCAAACTCTGTTGCTATGCAAACAAATGAAATCTGATAATTTCAAGGCCTATCTAGGAACTTCTGGAATAACTAAGGTTTTACAATCTCAATGTATGACATACATTTTTTAAATCAATAAAAACGCTATTCATGTGCGTAAGAATCCAAATGGCGTCTATAAGAAAAAATTAAGTTGATGCTGGAGGACAAGAGACGAAACGTCATATTGAAATTCTAATTGTGCCGCCTTGTAGAGGAGAAAATGTAGCAGAGTTCGTGTGCAATTTATTTTGAAATCCCATCCCATACTATTTGTGCATACACTTCGAGGCTGGGCGACAAGGGAACAGGGAACAAAAACCCTACTATCCCAGTTTTATTTAAAGTCATTCACAATACTTTGTACATTTCTCATCCATAATCACTGCAGACATTTATTCAGAATTCTTACTATGTATTTACTTCTTCAAATTGTCATTCGATGTGTGGAATCATATTTCTTCGAATCCATGTTTATACTTTTATATGAGAATTGAATGGTAATTAGTGAGCAAATCTACTTGACATTTTTGGGTGCTGTTATTTTTCAAGAAAGCGTCCATGTTTCCTCTCTAAAGGAAAATTCGGGTACATTTGGACAGTTGAACGAAAAATCCTAGATCATTCTGGTTTACAGCAAATGCACCCCCAACTTTTTCAAAATTGCCTACTTCATTCTGAAAAATTTTACATTCGAATAATTATTGTACTTGATTTCGAGGTTGACAATTTACTGGCAAATTATCTGCTGACTGATTTGACAGTCATCAAACAGTCAGAAGTTTCTGTACGAACAGCGGATTAGTTGTCGGTAATCGGTCTGACCTCCCTCAGCCAACTCGTAACAGTCTCATTTACGCAATTAATACAGTCAGCGACGTGTCAGTGACAACTAACTACGTAAACTAGGTCATGACTATCAGTTTGCTGATTGTCAGCAAACAGGCTGTACGAACAAACCATTAGTGAGTGCAAAGGTTTATGGGCCCACCATCACGCTCCTCGACCTCTTAAAGCGTTAAAGCCAGTTAAGCCCTGAATCTGAATTTACCCCAATACACCATGGTTTGAATGCGTTTTACTCAAAGTTAGATAATAGAGAAAGACGTTGCTAGTAGAAACAAAAGTTAACTCTGCCGCAAGGATAGAGATAACGGCTAAAACACCTGTTCTATTTCAGCCATTTTGTATCCTTGATTCAAAGGCTCTCTGGGTGCAAACCAAAAAAGAGAATGCGCAAAGTGCGTATAACGCAAAGAAGAGGAGGATACTCCTAATCATCTACTCGAATGTAGTAGATGGGTTGACTACCAGGGACAGCTGGAATTGATGTTGGGCGAGAGACTCACTGTTGACAATTTCGCCACCTATGTATGTCAGGGCAGATGGGTTGATATTCAGCCGCTAGTGAAGCGGATGATGCTGAACAAGTTGCAGGCGGACACGAATAGGAACGAACAGTAGGTTCCTACTTACTCGGATGTACATGGACATATTGTATGTAGGTACGAATGTGTGTATATGTACGATGGAGAGAATATGACTAATACCTTTGGTAGAAAACCTATCACACCGCACTCTGGAGAACTGCTGCAAGCTTTGTCGTTGATGGATGTGTGGCGAACGACAGAGGTTTTAGTGAATATGCCGCTTCGGGGGAATCTTACACCTTTCCCCTGTCAAAAAAATCCTTGAACATTCATGTTTCATTATTTCTAAGGAGAGATATTTCCTCAAACGTCACTCAACCCTCAAGGATCCGCAAATGTAACTCTTAGTATTCAACTAGATATTCTTTTTAAATTCATTTGGTCTCGGTAGACAGAAATGTTCAAAAAAACGCAATGAGAATTTTACTAGTATTTAAAAGTCCCACTGAGAATTTTAATGTCATTCTTTAAAAAACTGCATATTCTGCTATCTTATTTTCTACATGTTCTACTTTTCCCCAGGGCCTCAACACGCTTATGGGAAGTGGTTTCGGTTAATTTCGCTGACTTTTTTACGTTATGCGTCTTGGCATCACGAACAAATGTTTCACTAGGCACATGGGCCCAACCTCAACGGGTCCCAAGGTATAGGTCGTCCAAATAATATAATGGGGTATCGAGCACAGGCTCCAGAAACCAATGGGTTCAAACATATAGGCCGTCTAAGTCTAAGTATAATGAGGTTACAAGAAATGCCTTAATGGCCACATGCCCCAGAACACAACGGGTCCCAAGTTAAAGCCGTCCAGATCAGTATATTGGGTATCGGTTCTACCACTACTTGAACATCTGCTTTAATTGGAAGAGTCGTTTTGGTTTATTTCGCTGAATTTTTTATATGTTATGCGTCTTGACATCACGAAAAAGTATTTTAATAAGCAAATGGCCCCAACTTCAACGGGTCCAAAATATAGGCCGACCAAGTAATGGGGTTACGGATATACTTGAATATCTGCTTTAAGTGGAAGAGTGCTTTCGGTAAATTTCGCAGAATGTTTTATATGTTATGTGTCTTGGCATCCTGAACAAATGTCTTAATGAGCACATGCCCAAAACACAACGGGTCCCAAGATATTGGCCGCCTAAGTCAGTATATTGGAGTATGGGTTCAATTGAGTTATCTGCTCTACTTGGAAGAGTGGATTCGGTGAATATCACTGAATTTTTGAAATGCTTTGTATGTTATCTTGGTAGCTTGAACACATGTCTCAACGGGAACACGCCCAAAAACCCAACGAGTCCCCAAGATATAGATAGACAAATAGATATCATCTGTTCTACTCAGACATCTGCTCTACTTGGATAAGTGGTTTCAGCTAATTTGACAATCTGTGACATGCCGCGTATCTTTGGGTCCTGAATAGATGTATCGATAGACACGAAGCATAAAAATTTCAACGGATGCCAAGAAGGCAAGTCAGTATAGGGGGATAATGGTTCTATTCGGACCAGTAGTCACGTTAATCCTTTCTATAATCATTGGTTTAATTTTTTTTTATTGCATAACTTCACTCTTCAGCATCAACGTATCAGTTCTCCGATTTAAGCACCATTGCAACTGATGTCCTATTACCGGCATCCTGGATGTATCGCAGAAGCATTGTATTGGGGTACTTGGGTGTGCTGTTGATGCCGAGCCCATCCAAGAACCAGACAATACTAGCGATGTTTACACAGCAACCCAAAGTTCTTGCCCCCGCCTTACAAGTACAATAGTATTCTCATATATCGTCTACTTAATCTTCATTTTCCATAATATCGCTTCCATGTTGTACTCGAAAACAAAGCCATAACTGATAAGCGCCCCTGAATCAAGAGTAAATTGTATTCAACAAGAGGCCTGGGATGTCTCTGTTTATATCGCGTTCAAAGGTACCAGTACTCTCATGTTCCAACTTGTCCTGAATATAATAAGAAGGGGCTAGTTCAAGTTGGCACGGGCTGAGGGTCGCCCGACGCCGACGTAAGCATTAAAAATCTAGTTGAGGCAACTGAGGAACGTGTTCTGATTCAGACGTTCCCAAATGGTAAGCTTTATCACAAGATTTTGATCCACAACCAACGCTTGTGCCACGTTCACGTCATTCAATCGAGTTTTAGTCTCTCGTACTAGGGCAACAGTTTTATCCACTATTTGTAGAGATACTCGATATTTATTTATTGAGCCACCCGCGATTAAGTAGAAATCTCTCAAATGTAGGACATGCTTCCTCGGAATAAGCTTGTCGAGAAACGTATGAATGGATTTAACGACGAGCCTCAATGGGAAAGGGATGTGATTCCAATTGTTTGTGCCTTTTGAGAATTTTTTTTCAGGATGCCGTGATACATGAGATTTCAAAAATTCAGTTATATTAACCGAAACCATTTTTCTACAGACAGCAGATAGCTGAGTAAATCCGACACCCCATTATAACGACTTGGGCAGCCTATATCTTGGGATCCGTTGAGTTTTGTGGCCTGTACTCATTTGTTCAGGACGCCGAGACACATAACGTATACAAAATTCAGCGAAATTAACCGAAACCACTCTTTCACTTGAAGCATATGTGTAAATTCGAGTATAACCATACGCCATTATAATGACTTTGACGGCCTACACATTGGGTCCCGTTGAGTTTGGGGGCCTGTGCCCATTGAAACATTTGCTCAGAATGCAAAGACACATATGAAAAACTCAGCGAACTTGATCGAAACCACTCTTCCACTTATAGCAGACATTCGAGTAGAACCGTAGCCTCATTATACTGACTTGAACCGCCTATATCTTCGGACCCGTTGGGTTATTTGACTTGTGCTCATTAGGGCATTTGTTCAGTTTGCCGAGACACGTAGCAGATAAAAAATTTAGTGAAATTAGTCGAATCCACTCTTCCAGTTAAAGCAGATATTCGAGTAGAACCATACCCCATTATACTGACTTGGACGTCCTACACATGGGGATCTGTTGAATTTAGGGGCCTATGTCCATTAAAACAGTTGTTCAGAATGCAAAGACACATATCATATGAAAACTTCAGCGAAATTGATCGAAACCACTCTTCCACTTGAAGCAGACATTCGAGTAGACCCGTAACCTCAGTATACTGACTTGGACGGCCTATTCCTTGCGACCCGTTGGATTTTGGTCCCTGTCCTCATTAGGGCAGTTCGGACTTCAAAATGATATATCGCATAAAAATTCATTCCAGGTGTCGTCCAGCTGCCATCTGAAATTTTCAACTGTCACTTTTACACAGTATCAATATCGATATTATGTGATTTATGCAAGCAATTACATCGTTCGATCTAAATTGCTAAATTGACCGGTTAAAAAAATAAATGTGAAAGGGGACATTGAAGAAAAACACTATATGTTTAGAGGAATCATGATAGGCATTTTTTTTCTGTACGTATATCAGTCAGTGCAAAAATCTAGTCCCATTATTTGAATTTTCCAAGAGACACTAAAAACTGTGTGTCTAATAAATAAACCAATTTTGAGTTATTCTTTTATGCTTAGTGTATACTTGTGTTCCAAAAGAATTAAATTTTGAAAAATCCTCACAGTTCATTAATGATAATGGAACGGTCCGAAAGCCTGTTATGCACTTACGTAGTTTTAGCAGAAAATGCAGTTAATGGTATTTAACTTAAAGAACAATATAAATCATATTTTTTATTGCTCATTACTGAAAATTACGCTTAAATAATGACTTAACATGACACTTTTTTCAATTTTGCTTGGTTTTATGGTATATAGGGGAAATCCAGGCAAAGCGAACACCTGAGGAAGTCATGTCCGGTTTTACATCCAAGCAATGAATGGACCATCGTAAAAAATATACATAAACCTATTCGTTCAACTTCAATAATCGGCATTTGGTTGAAGAAGAATCCACGTGCTTATGTGACTACCAGGCATCAAAATGTCCATCTTTGTACTATCTATATATGAACATGCTTAAAATTATATATCGTATATATGAAGGACTTTCTCGGTCATACAAATGAGGAGAGCCAAGTCAATGTTGGTAGGAAACAAGAAGGCTGTTGACGTCGCATGTCCCTTTTTGCAGTAACCTGTCTCTGTCTGTAGGAGTAACTTAATACTTCTGATTGTTTCATGGTGTGTATAGAGATGACCGAAAATAATGATCAGTTTGTTTTTTTTTTTTTGGTCAAAAAATGTATTTTTGTGCATTCTTTGTCCATTTTGTCTTCAACTTGTGAACAAATGTGAGTATAACTCTAAAATTGTACGTGAATATATCACTTTTATGGAAGAATCAAGCGGGTGATGATCTTTTGACAAAAATAAGTTGATAAAATTGTTTTTAGTCGTCTCTGCACACACCATGAAATAATCAGATAAAAAGGATTTGGAATACTGCTCTGGAACATGTGACCTTAAACAAGTAATTTCGGGCAAAGCGACTAAGACCTATACTCTTGTTTTTGTAGTTTTGGTGCATTTAGCCCATAAAGATGAACATAAAACAATACAGGAATACTGGTGCTTTGTTTTAAATGACCATTAAAGTGTGTGCCATCGAGTGGTGCGTGCAAAAGGTCTTACGAAGTTTTTGCACTGAACGTTCATTACGTGGTGCTTTTTGGAGGGGAAAGAATGTAGTGACTTACGAGATGTATACCTAGAATACGCGTATACCTTTAATGAATCGGTTTCAGTAAAAAAAGCATGTTGTTAATAAAATCAACTAACAAGGTTTTTGCAATGACCGATTCAATTAATATGCCTGCATTGCCTCTCATATTCATTGTTGAAAAATATACATATGTATCAACATAAAACTATGACTTATTTCAGATAATGAAGATGCCAATGGATATGGATCTGCCGTCAGTCCAGTTAAAAGAAAAAGAGGTAAGTGTATAAGGGTTTTATTCACTCTTTCTTCTATAGTCTTTTTTGTATTTTATAGAAATAGAACCGTTTTTCCCCCGAAGGGTAATAAACTGATATTTTGGGACTAACCGAGGCTTGACGCTCGGAGATTGCATCTTACCTTTTTCCATCGCTATATCACGAATAGAGCCCCCTTTTTAACCCATATTCGCAACCCCACGCCCATGTGCGCTCCGGGGTCCGTCTAGCATGCGCGCGACTGAGTCGGTGGGCAGCTGCTAGCAGCGCGCTCATCAGTGCTGATCCGAGGAGGCGGCAAGTTATCAACTCGGGTCAAGCCTCGGCTAGACCCAAAATAGCCGTTTTATACCCTTCGGGGGAAAAACGATTCTATTTTAGGTCTGAGCCTTCGGCTTGACCCTCGGAGAAGTGTTTGGTTTCTGCCGACTCAAGTCGCGCACTGTGACAGGCTAGATGGAAAATAAACGCAAAAGCTTTTAACAAAACAATGAACAACAACTTTATTGTGGTTCATAACGTACTATAATATAAATATAAGTATGAACTTAAATGAGATCTTCTCTTCTTGATTCAGTAAAAATTAAAGTAATACTGAGTACAGGTACTCAAAATTGTAAAGAACAGTAAGTTCACTGCTCTCCACTACACCGGCTGAAAATCTTCACTGAGGTAGTTATGTGTCTCAGTGTTCGACTGGTTTTGTATTACCTTGAAATAGTGCATGATAAATGTGTCCTGGCGTCGCCAGTTCCTTCTCGCCATCAGTTCGTTCAAGCATGAGTTAGATACCCATAAGTCCGAAGACACTGCTGACCGAATGCTTCCTGGAGAGGCTTCAAGGCCCGCCGCCGTAAACGCCGTTCGGATCCAACCTGCGATGACTGCCCTAGATGCTCCCTTCACTTTGCCTCTTGTAGTGATGAAAAGTGAGGTTAAGTCATTCGTGGCGTATCTTGTGGATATAGAAACGGATATCAGCTTGAGAATCCAATAAACCGGATCGAATCCGTCTTAGAACCAAACGCCGCACACCGGCCAAAAGATGACTGAGTTATTTCTTGTTTGGAAAAACTCCTCCGAGATGTGTAACAGCGTTAGGGCATGCACCCTCCTACCTGAGGCTAGTAGCAATATTAGAGCTTCGTAGCGAGACACCTGCAGGTGGGTTGGAAACCAGCCACTGTATGATAGTGGAAGCACTCCATATGGATTTCCTTGGAGGCTGCTGTTTCAACTTGATGGCTTTCATCATTCTTTGTACTAGGCCATTTGAGGCTACGAGCTTAGATTTCTCGGATTTGCAAAGGTACATAGTACCGACTTGTGTAATGCTATCGTATTCGGGGATAACTTACAACTTCTGAACGAGTAGCATAGGAATTTAGCCAGATCCGTGGCCCTTGGATTATCTGCACTACTCATATTTTGCTTTGTCCAAGACTTCCACCTACTCCATGCACTTCTATACGACTTCAATGTGGAGCTCCTCCATGAAGATACTAGAAAGTCTAAGCCCTCTCTTTTCCAATCAGTGATTTGCTGTGTCCACCCTGAACCTTTCAAGTCGTCGCACCTGAGGGGGTGGGTTCCCCGTTACCAGGTCCCGGAGATTCATCGACAAGATGGGAATCACTTTTCCACCTTTTCCCAGCTTGGCGCTATCAGGACGTAGAACCCCGATACTGAGATCAGATGCGTCAGGACTCTTGGGATAAGAGCCAGTGGTGGAAATATCCTCGCCACCTGTTATGTCCGTTGTCTGCTGAATGCATTTATGTAGTGAGCATTGTAATCTGTTACGTCCAGGCTGACGTACTTCGGCACCACTGCCGACAAGTTTGTTGCAAAGAGGTCCACTTCCGGCGTCCCCATTTGCGAAAAAGTTGTGTGATTACATTCGACAGAGACCTGTCTAGAAGAGGGCGGCCCCTGGAAAGGTGATCGGCCGTCCCATTGTATTTTCCCGGAATATACTGCGGTTGCAGCGTGATGTTGAATTTTTAACAAGTTTTGAGTAATTCTTTTGTCAGCTGCAGCAGCTTGATCGACTTCGTCCCCCCTTCCTTTCTGACATAAGCTATCACCGTGCGGTTGTCCGTCTGCAGCAGTACAATCAGGATCCTTAGTACCATCGTATTTCTCTTAATTGCATCGAGAACTGCCAACAGTTCTTTGCTGTTGCAGTGCCAGTATCGTTGGCTCTCGGTCCACGTTCCTGAGATCGTGTACTTCTTCAGGGTTGCTCCCCAACCCCAGTCGGACACGTCTGTTGTCAGGTAGCTCTTCTTCTTCGTAATCCGCACAGGGGAAGACTGCTCTACATGCATCAATCACCACTGGAGGTCTTTCGGAACTGGTTTGGGGATTGGCGACGTTGTCTTTGAGAATTGGGGGAGTCTGTTGGATGTTTTCTGTGCTCTGCGGCAGTGTAGGCGACCTAAGGGTACTGCAAATGCCGCGAAATTCAGCCGACCCAATCGCCCTCTCGCCTCGCGCCAGTTCCATGACCCTCTCTCGGCTTTGTGGCAATCCCACATAATGCCCAAGTACTCTATCGTCGTCATTCGGCTTTCGGTGGTCTTTGTTCTATTTATCATGAAGCCTAATTTTGTGAGCAGCTCCATCGCTAACTGTGCATGTTGTTTGAGTTGCTGTCGATTTTGACTCGCTATAAGAAAATCGTCCAGGTAAACTACCAGTCTGATGCCGCTTGACCTCAAGAGTTGTGCTATCCAATTGGCAATCTTGGCGAAAACCAATGGTGCGGTCGAGATTCCGAATGGTAGGCATGTCATGTGGTAGATTTTTCCTCTGTATGAGCGGGACAAAAACTTACGATGTCCCTCGTGGATTAGAATGTGGAAATAGGCATTTTGCAAGTCGATCTTCATCAAATAGTCGTTATGTTGAAGAAAACTGGGAATCCTCTGAAGGTTGATAAGCCGAAACGGCTTTGGACTCAAAAACATGTTTAGACGTTTTAAGTTTACGACGGGAATCATCTTCCCGTCTTCTTTGGGTACCAGAAAAGTAACCGGTCTGATAGGTTAATGTCTCGATAGATCGACTTGCTAATAGTTTTGTTATTCTTTGTCCATATTCTGGGACTGTTGTGTTTGCAGCGCCGCCGGTATAGGAATTCTGTACCGCTTTATGGTGTTTAAAATAAATTTTGGAGCTTGTAGTAATTGCCATTCTTTGACAAACGTCCTCAGCTGGCCAGCCTGAAAACTGTCAAATATGCTTCCGGGCTTTCTTCACTTTGGACAGTTTAGACTGTCCTACGATGTTTCTTTGCCTTTTCCTTCCCTGCTTTGAGGCTGCTTGCCTACTGGAGACCATACTACGTGACCCCATTCGATTTGCTGGTCTTTGCCTATGCGAGGCCTCCTGTTTTTCGGCTTTGGATACGGAACGATAGGGTACTCTCTTTGGAAAGAATTTATAATATCCTCCATGGCTTTTGATCGTGTCCATTAATTTTCCTTCATCTAATAAGTGGGTTGTGGAGGGGGATCTGCTTTAGCAAGTTAGTCATGTACGTTGAAGGTGACTCAACAAGGTCTCTCATACGACTAATAACATCTGCCCTCCTGACGCATGTCGGTTGCAGCAAGTCATCTGACACATCTAAATTCCGTATCACTACCACTGATATTTTCAAAGATTGCCTTTTTTAGGGTCGGAGAATCTACCTCCTTCAGAATATTTTCTATACCCCTAGCAAGAATTTCACGCTGCTTTAGAAGTCCATGTGAAATAGCTTCCAGTGTTTGATCAAGTTGCGCCAAGACCTCACTAGAGCACCATTTTGCCTCCTTATTTTTAATTTGTTCGTTCATTTTGAGTGCCATAAAAATGGGCGTGGCGTGGCTTGTAACCGCTTCTGCGCATCAGTGTATCGGATTTTGTTCCATACCGATAGCCCTAAGCGTTGACAGGTAGCTCCTTGCTCAGCCAGAAACATATCAGCCTGAGGGACCATCGGCTCCAATTCCGTAACATCCGGAAGGAAGTCCACCACGGGCCAGTCCCGTTCCTCGTCGCACATCAATCCGGGTAATGATACTACGTCTTCTTTCCCAGACCTATTACCAAGGCTGTCCGCTCTGTCGTCATCCTCTGTTTCCGAGTAACACTCAGGGTTGGACTGACCCTGAAGCAACTGTTGTAGGAGGTGTTCAATATTTTGGGTCTTCGCTGTTAGATCTGAGATTGCATTCTCTGTCTCCTCCAAGCGTTTCGATTTGGTTAATCGATCAGTCTTCTTTGACGAAGCTCTCCTCTTTCTCACCAGATTCTCTTAGTTATCTCCTCTCAGCAAGCCGTTCGCTTCCTCTCTAGAGACTATGCCCCGTTTTACTTCTTCTATGGCTCTGCTGAATAGTTCATATTGCAGTCGAGACAACTTCATGTCTTTGAAACTTTTTTGAGATACGCTCAGAGCATCTTCATCAAAAGCTTTGATCAATTCGACCGTTGGCAGGACATATCTCAGTTTATTGAGTATATTCGAATCCGGCCGTCTACCTACTATGGCCTCCTTAGACAGATCCAGCACTTTCCACCGACGCCATCCCTCTGGATAGATTCGTTCAACTGAAACCAGAATCCTTTGTAAGGTCGTCGTCGTCTTCCACTTGAATATCCGCCAGATCACCCAGCGTTATAAAATCGATTAGGGGTCTGTATCACTCTAGTTGCGTGATGTAACGTGTCAACCCACATTAGCAGAATATTCGAGAATTCTGGCCCGTTAGCTGCATAGATTTCGCCCGACGGCCATCACATGCTGGGCCGACGGCCGCGTAGATTGGGGCCGGCGGCCTTGGCAGTTCCGTCCGTCGGTCGTGGAAACTTTGTCCGAAGGCCACGTAGATTGAGACAGACGGCCCTGGGAATTCCGCCCGTCGGCTATAGAACTGTCGTCCGACGGCCACGTACAGTGGCCCCGACGGATCTGGGAGTTCTGGCCATCGGCCGTGGAAGCTTTGTCC